CATTGTGGCCATTTAGGTAGTGAACCAGCAGATGGAAGATTTTTCTGTCTATCCTTCTCCCTATAAATCTGCCTCTCTAGTAAGAATAAATGTCAGAAAATTTCCATATTTAAAAAACAGTAAAGAGATCTTGGAAAAAGTAGGAAGTATTATGTCAAAAGAATATATAATAAAGAAATATATGGCAAATTTTTCATTTCCAAATTCTTAGTATTGTTACAACATCTTTCAGTATCTATGACTGAGCAGAGGAGAAAATAATCTGGGAAGAAAATATATGGAGAAAAGGAGTTCTAGAATAGAGAGATTTAAGATATTTTTAACATTCATTTTGTTATAATGCCGCTTAAAAAACTGAAATTTTATTTAAATAAATTCAAATTAGACTGCTCAGAGCATGCTGTCCTATTGTAAATACGTGGATACTCTTTGCCAGAAAATGTCTAATTTTTTGCTAATCTGACCACAGCCATTCTTGTATTGCAGTGATCCTTCACGTAAGGTGAGACCCTTAAGATCAGATGTCTCACTGGCACCAGGTCACATCAGGCAGGCTACAAACACTCACGTAGCTAAGGGCTCAATTCTCCCGGTTAGCGTCAAGAACCTCAGAGGAGCGGTGTCTTCTCTCTTCACACATGACTAGAAATACTTTTAGATTCACTCTCTCCAGACCCTTAACATGATTCACACATTGTTCTTATTTAACTGGCAGCCTTTCTCTCATCTTCCTGCCATTTCACCCACCTTAACCCTCCACCTCACCGCCCCCCTTACTTTAAATCGTTCCATTTATTCTATTTCCCACTCAATCCCACTTTTTAAGAAAAAAAAAAAATTACTGATTTTGTCAGAAATCTTCTTGGACTTAAGCCTCTTTTAATATATGCACTATTTAAAAATTAAGCTATTGGTAAATATTATAGAAAGTGACCTCATCATACAAGCAGCTTTGGTCAAAGTATAGCGTAAGTACAAAGTCTTTACTGGAATTATCAACTAAAATACGGAAACAAAAAATAATTTGTCTTATCACATAACTTTCTAAATGTTTGTTTACTTATTATTTTATCCATTTGCAAAGCAGAGTGACAGAAAGAGGCAGAGACACGTAGAGAAGGAGATCCATCCACCGATTCACTCTCCAAATGTCCACAACAGCCAGGGCTGGGCCAGGGGCCCAGACACTTCAGCCATCACCCACTGTGTCCCGGCATGCTTTTACAGGAACTGGATTGGAAATAGAGGAGAAGGACTCAAACCAGCACTGCACTGTGGGATGCAGGCATCTTAAGCATCACAATGCCCACCTTTTCACATATAATTTTATTTCTAACGGGCTTTTTCCCTCTCCAGGGGTATGAATATAAAATCATACTGATTATGAATACTATTTTGAGATAGATTTCATTTTTTCATTTATCTATATTCTACCTCTTCTTCAATGTAGTTTTTTTATCTTCTTTACAAAATCTGTTAATGACCAAAAATTCTGAGCACTCACTATGATAGGCACATTGAAATCTTTACACCTCGCAAATGCATTTTTAACTTACTTAAATTCTCATAACATCCCTATGAGGTAAGTCTTATTTTCTCCAGACAAGGAAACAGAAAGGCACTGAGAGATTCTAGGCAATTCTCAAGTTACACAGCCAGGTTAGTGCTGGACTCAGGATCTGAACTCAGGTAATTTGATTCGAAAGGTTGTGTTCTTAACCACTATGTTACATGGCCTCTCCCTTCCTGAACACCTCACAGAGTACTTCTTCCTACAGTCCTTGTTACGTACACCACACCGAAAGTTTACTGCTCCGTGTACACGCTTCCTCGTTTTGCCTCATACATGTTTGCACTTGCTCCTCAACTAAATCTTACGATCCTCACAGGCAAGGGAACAGCAGCATTTGCTTAACCCTACTTTCAAGATGGGGATATATATAAAAATGAATTTAAGAGAGTACTTTCAGAAACCTTGTTGAACAAAATAAAGATGTTTGATGCAATTTTTTTGAAACCCATGCATAGCTTTTCAAATTTTCATTGTCTATAAATTTTACATTTATAATTAGTTTTATTTTTACTTATTTGGAAGAGAGACAAAGACAAGCAGAAAGACCTTTCATCTGTTGGCTCAGTCTCCCAAACACCCACAGTAGTCAGGGCTGAGTCAGGCCTGAGCCAAACTGGAGCCAGGAGCCAGGAACCCCACTGTAGCTCCCATATAGGACGAGTTAAACTGAATGACTTGAGCCATCACCTGCTGCCTGGCCGGTGTACATGAGGAGGGAGGTAGAGATGGAAACAGGGTAGGATGTGAGAGTCCCATCAGTGCCAACTGTTGACCCCTCCATGAACTGAAGTATGCTTATATGCTTCCTAATTTTAAAAAAAAATCCCTGGCAATTTCTATATTATTATTTTAAATTTTCAAAATACAAAAATCAGGCCTGGCAAAGTGGCCTAGCAGCTAAAGTCCTCGCCTTGAACGCACCGGGATCCCATATGGGCCCTGGTTCTAATCCCGGCAGCTCTGCTTCCCATCCAGCTCCCTGCTTGTGGCCTGGGAAAGCAGTCAAGGACCGCCCAAAGCCTTGGGACCCTGCACCCATGTGGGATGCCCGGAAGAAGTTCCTGGATCCTGGCTTCGGGCCGGCATAGCATCGGCTGTTACACTCACTTGGGCAGAAGATCTTCCTCTCTGTCTATCCTCTGTATATCTGGCTTTCCAATAAATAAATAAATCTTAAAAAAAAAAAAACTCACTTTAAAAAAAACTCAAGTAAGTAATAATAACGAGGCTCTACAGAGAGAAAACTGGGCATGGTCGTATCCCTGCTAAATGTTCCAGCTAACATGAAGTCACTGGCTATGACTCAGCAAAATCACTTACCACCTGAAGGGCAGCTCATGCCGTCAGTGTCACATCTGGCATTACTAAAGTTAGGAACCTGACTGCACGTATTTGTTTTTCTTCTTACTCAACTCCCCTCCTGGTGAGTCACACCTGTAAAACTGACTTTCTATTTCCTGAGAGAACACTTAAGGAAAACCAAACGAAATTTCTTTTGCATATGCATAACCAGTAACAGACAATCTGTGTTATCCGGAATAGCACTCAGAGTAAAGTGCTGAAATCAGGAAGGCCTCCATGCCTGAAAGCAGAATTTTCAATAGTGATGTTTAATCCATCAAAATGAGGAAACTGGGACCAGCACTGTGGAAATGCTGGTTCAACATTCTACTCAACTTCTGTCCTAACTTCCCAGAGATGCACCCGGGAGGACAGCAAGTGATGGGCAGTGCCTGTGTGGAAGAGCTGAGTGGAGTTCCTCCCTGGATTACGGCTTCAGTGCAGCCCAGACCTGGTCACTGCAGCCATTTGGGGAATGGACTTTCAAATAAATAAATTTGAAACAAACAAGAAAATGGGAGTTTCCAAATGTAACCTGCTGAGAATTACTTTACAGTGAACCCATCTAACAAGTCTATTCAGAGTTAACCAAATGCAAACAAACAAAAACCCTTAATATTAGATATTGATAACTGCCACAAACAATAAGTAAAAAAAAAATTTGTTTAATGAACCATTCATCAAGTTCTTTAATGATAAATCTAATATCACCAAAATCTGACAGGATTACAGATCTTAGGAAAATTTTCAAAGAGCTTTAAAGGAGTTAAATTTGAGAATCCAAGGGCTTATGTTCAAAGCACTGCTAATGGTCTGAATTTACACACAAAACAATAAATAGTAAAATATTTTTGCTAACTCTCCAGGCACTTCATCTATCTCTAGAAAAAGCTAATACAATCCTGAAACACAAAAAAAATTCTGATTAAGGGATTTAACTATTTTTTTTCTTTTGACATCTGTCAGCTTTCTAGAATTTAACAAGCTGATAGCAATAGGTTGTACAAACACAGAAGCAAAAGCCAATCAGTACTTGTTGTAGGCTGAGCTGGTCTGTCCCATTTGAGCTCTCATACAAAAACTACAATGCTGGCACTCCTAAAAATGGTAAGGGGGAGGACTCTAAGATAAAGTGATATTCAAGGGCGAATAGTAATGACCTATTTTCAAATCATAATCAAGATTGGTATTTTTCTCCCAAAATGCAAATAAATAAGTAGAAATTATACAGCTCATTTTGGCATTTGAAAGGCAAGTAAATGTTTTATCCTTTATCGAAGTCAAACTATACCATGTTGACTAGAGGTAAACTTTAAGAAATCAGCCCTGTGCAAGCTTGCGGACAGTACCTCACCGTGATTTTGATGAACACTCTTCTAGCCTGTTCACCTGCCAGGCCGCTAAAGTAGAGTCTGCAACACTGTTATTTTTTAATTATTTTTTTAAGATATATTTATTTTTATTGGAAAGTCAGATAATACAGAAAGGAGGAAAGACAAGATCCTCCGTCTGCTGCTTCATTCCCCAAATGGCAACAATGACCTGAGTGGAGACAATCCGAAGCCAGGAGCCAGGAGAATCCTCTGGGTCTCCCATACCAGCGCAGGTTCCCAAGGCCTTGCGCTGTCCTCAACTGCTTTCCCAGACCACAAGCAGAGAGCCAATGGGAAGGGGGACCGCTGGGACATGAACCAGGGTCCATTTGAGATCCAGCGTGTTCAAAGCAAGGTTTCAGCTACTAGGCTGCCATGCCGGACACAACACTGTCATTTTTAAAACAATACAAGCTTTTTATTCTCATACCATATATACAATGAAGAAGCAGAAAACAGAAATGAAAACACTCTCAAACTCAGAATTGTACAACCTGAGGCTATTACTTTCTCCTAATTAAAAATTTATCAAAGGTAAAATGCCAAAGCCCCAGCTCCTGAAAACGTGAATCTTCCCAGGGGCTACTCTTGTCCACATTTTTCTTATATGTTCAGTTAAAACTTAAATATTCTGCTGCACTGGGAAGTAAACAGCTGCCCTGGTTTTAATACATACTTCCTGAAGAATCCCTTTCAGCCAAAGAAAAACTTACCTCTGCAAAATGTGTGGATGTACTATTGTCTATCCGGCTGCCACCACCACCTAAAAAACTAAACAGAAAGAGGAGTGAGTGCTGATTCTATTCCCAGGAACAAGTTACCCTTCCAGAAGCTAAATATAGAATGGCAGAATGAGAATGCCTAACACGGAAAAGCAACTCATCCCGGCATAACACCCACAAAGGAAACACGAAGGCAGGGCAAGTGAATCAATTCACCAAAAATTACCAGGACAAAACCACAAGCTCAAGAGGTTTTCAGGCAGAACAAGGCTATGTCAAGTGAAAAATCAGAACCGGACCATCACACAGAAGGAAGGAAGACTCACTGCCAGTAATGCAATTCAAATTTGACCTAGCCCAAACAAAACAAAACAAAATTAACCTTTGAAGAGGCTAAGAAAACAAAATAATGTTGCATTAAAAAACATTCCATCATTAAAAGTGTTTAACATTTGAAGTTACAATAATTAGAATTTTGAAGGAACAATTAAATACAGTAATGTAAGGGGTCTGGAACTCTGCATTCAGCACATTTCCAAAGTATTTCGTAGGCCTGATACTGCAGCATAGCACATTAAGTCACTGTGTGCAGTGTGTGCATTTCAAATGGGTGCCAGAGTCCCAGATGTCCCATTTCTGATCCAGTTCCCTGCAAGTAAGCCTGGGAAAAAAGCAGAGGACGGCACAAGGACTTGAGCCCTTGCCACCCAATGTGGAAGACCTGGCTGTGAAGCTCCTGATTGCTGGCTTCAGTCTGGTCCTCTCCTGGCTGGCTGTTCCAGCCACTTGCAGAATGAACTATAAGATGGGAAATCTTTCTTTCCCATGTCAATAACTGACTTCCAATAAATAATTCCTTATTTGAGTTTATCTTACTGATACTTCAGGGCCTGGGTCAAATCCTACTCCTCCATCAAGTCTTTACTGAACTCGCCCAACCAAATGAGACTTGTCCATACCCCTCTGCATGATCACTTTGATTCTATGTTCTCTATATTATCACTATCTCCAGGGTTGGTCTCATCATGTCAACTCCTTTTCTCTTGTGATACAGATTTTAAAGGCAAACAATTTAAACACTCATGTATGTATGGTGTTTTATTACACTACAGAGAGCACCGAAAATCTTACAGTGCGATATCCTATACTAATAACTCCATATCACATATGCAAGCAATAAAATACCTATTCCAAAAGACCCTGAAGAGTGGAAAGATGTATTAAACTCCATCATTCCCATGAAATTCGCAAAGAAAATAAACTGGCAAACACTTTAGGAGAAAGGTGGTGGAAAGAATCACAAGAACTACTGAAGAGCACAGAGAAACATAGGTAAGTACACAAATATAGAAGCAAACACATCCCAGTGATCAAAAGGCCACAGACTACTGCAAGTAACGTTCATTTAGCAGAATTACAATACCAATCCAGGCACTGTGCTGAGTTCACGGGGGATAGAGACACACCTGGTTAGGCAAATCACACACCAAAATGCAAAGCAATGCCATTCCCTGTGCAATCACTCTCACACTTTATTCTCTAATTAGAAGCCATTTAACACATTCGTTTCAGAAGTTAGAAATTCTACCTGTACATTTATGTTAAATAACTATCGAGAATACCATATACCATAAAAACAAAGTTGAATGTGTATCATTTTACAGCTCAAGTCTACATGAGGTTCCCAGGCTCTTTATTTCCCTTACTGACTGGATCCTGGTATTCAAATGTTGCTGACTGAAATCATCAACTCCATCTTTTGGGATTGTACTCTCTGATGCTCCATCAGCCTTTCCTTCCCATAAAATTCCTTTACATTTTAAGAGCTTATCATGAAGAAAAGATAATAAAAACAGCCACACTGTTCTGAGAAATGTTAGAAAACTAATGCAAACTTAGAACGTGCAACTCTAAGATATATGTTTAGTAGTAGAGGGGCTCATTATCCAATATTTGCAAAAATTTCTTACTAATTTCTACCACCAATTACTTATCAGTCTAATTGCTAAGCAATCAGCAAATGTTTATAATATCATGCTGCCTCTAAAACACTGATTTTTAATGTACTCATGTACGATACCGGTGATCTCTTAAACCAAACAATCTTTGCATTTCAGTAGAGGTTACCAACAGCATCTCTGAACTAACAAACACAAATAAAAGAATTATTAATTCAAATGAAAACATAACCCATAGAATTCATATTTCCCTGCTGGACAAAGATTTGTATAAAAATTTTTTGTATAAAAATTTTGTATAAAAGTTGTTTGCCTAACGAAACCAGGATTACTATTTAAAAACTTAAACAAACAAAAACTTGGATTGGTGCTATAACTTTTGGGTAAAGCCACTGCTTGTAGTACTAACATCCCAAATAGGCACAAGTAAGTCTCGGATGCTCCACTTCCCATCCAGTTCCCTGCTAATGAGCTGGGAAAGCAGCAGAAAATACCTCAAGTCCTTAGACCCCTACATTCATTTGGGAGACCGAGAAGACGCTCCAGGCTCCTGGCTTCAGCTTGCCCCAACCCCAGACATTGTGGCCATCTGGGGAGTGAACCAGTACATAGAAGAGCTCTCTCTCTCTGTCTCCTCTCTCTTCTACCTTTCATATAAATAAATTATAATTAAAAAATATCTGCTCTCCGACTGAGACTCTTTAACACATGCAAAGCATACATGCCTGAAAGAAGTATTTGATGCAATTATCACAGCACAAATTAAAAGCTATCCCAAGTTAGCATGCTGTTTACACAAAACTGCTAATTTTGCTGTTGCAAGTTATTTAAAGCTAAAATTATTATATCAACATAAGTGTCTAGGTTCAACTAGATCTCATGCCACATATTGCCTTAAAAGTTACAGCTCACTGACACTTTTAATCGTCAATCATTAATTAAAGTAAAACTAATAGTACATACTGTAAAACGTGTAGTTTTCCCTGGTAGTGGAAAGGACCTTCAATTTTAGAGTCTGCCAACAGCAATGGTAAAGGAATTATCTACTGCCATAACAATCCCAAAGTCACTCCAAGATTAAGACATTCAAGCTACATATTCTCGTAAGCAAGGAGTACTGCTACAACTGTCTAGCAGTGTTTAAACAGTCCCCAAAGACAAATGCCATTACATTTACCAAAAAAGACCAACAGCAATATCAAATACTATTTTATCACTTAGTTCTTTTAGTCATAGTAACCAATAAAGAATACATAATTTTGCCACTTTCCAAAAATATTTTCCCTTTTTATCAGTTTTATACCTTTGGTATGGCCAAGAGAACAAAGTCCAAGCATTACAAACCCAAATATTAATTTTATGGTGACAAATGGAGTAAGTTGGACAGCAATCATATTAATACATACAAAGAATCCAAGACTTCTAAATGTTTCCTGGCAAGACCAGCCTGTTTACCCTACTAGACATCTTTATCAGAAGTCACTCCCCAGCCCACCAAAGAAATGTAATAGCAATATACCTATAGATAAGAATTGTCACTAAAATCAGCCAATAATCTAAGAGAATCCCAAGTCTCAAACTAAAAATGAAAATTTACCAGCTTTGTTCTAACATGGTATAGGGGTATCGAAGGAATGGCACAAATAATCAGGAACACTGAATCGTTTCATCCCTACTATTTTATCACCTTCCAAACTGTTCCACTTTTCCTCCTCCCTCCCATTCTTCTATGTTTTCTTGTGAATACAGCCCCTCCCCTCCCACCTCTTTCCTCTTTCTTCTTTCACTCTCTCCCAGCTGAGAATAAAAGTTATAAAACAAATGTCCATCAACTGAATTATGTTATTAAAACAACATAATGCCTGATTAATTCCTGAGCTTATACAATACCTGGAATCATCAGTCACTTCTTCAATAAAGCCTGATTCACATCTGGGACAAATATATTCCTATAAAAGAAAGAAAAAATTCTCATTAGAAATCGAAGCAGTTTCAATAATACTATTTACAGAGTTTATGCTTTGAAATCTTTTATGCACCTGCTGACTCCAAGCAGTTTTTTCTACTATGCTCTGGCAAATAGAGTCCAGTAAGACATTTGCATAAAGCTTTCATAGCTACCTAAATGATTCCTACTCAGATACTAAAGGGGAAGATCAGGGGCTAATTCAGCTCCCAAGTGGCTGCAACACCCAAGGCTTGGCCAGGGCAGATAAAACCAGGAGTTTCACCTGGGTCTCCCTTGGACCAGCTTCTACTGCTTTCCTAGACACACTAGCAGGCATTTGGATCAGAAGCGGAGCAACAAAGACTTGAAAAAGTACCCATACGCAATGTCAATGTGGCAGCAGTAGCTTTATCTGCTCCACCACCCATTGCTTTATGCCAACAACTCTCCAATGTATATATTCAGCCAGGCTACTCTTCTGAACTCCAGAGTTCAGTGCAAGCACTCACTCTCTGTTAATATAAAACACATGCATTGTTTTAAGAGGTGGCAAACCAATTCACTCTTAGTGGAACCTGGGAGTCATTCCTGCTATCTTTTTCTTCCTCACCCCACCATCAAGTCCTAGCATCACTAACACAGTACTTCTAATCCAGCTCCTTGTTAGTAGCCTGGGAAAATAATCAATAGCAGCTGGGCCAAGTGTCTGAGTCCCTGCCACCTATATGAGACACTCAGAAGAAGCTCCTGGACGCTGCATAGCCCAGCCATTGAGCCAGTAGATGAAAGATAGTTCTCATTCTGCCTCCCCACCTCTGTATTTGAAATAAATCTTTCCAAAAAATTGTACTGGTCTGGAGTGCCTGTCTCAGGACTGGTCCTCTTCAGTTGCTAATGTCCATGCAGTAGAGAATACACCTAGATGCACATGGGGAACATGACAGCCAGCCCATCTAGGCCAGCAGAGTACACACAGGGCCTTGTCAAAGGATGGAAAGCAGAACGAGGAGGAACACTATCCTGCCCAAGCTTTGCAGCAATGGTCTAGGTCTGTGGATGCACTTGGTCAGCCAACAGACCTAGGGAAGATCTTCTCAGCCTTGATGTAACGAAGCTGACATCTCAGATCAAAGCCACTCAAGTAACACCCTCAGAACATTCCTCTCCACATCTCTCTAAGGCATCATTAAATGACTGCTGATGTAGTCTGACAGCAAGGAACAGCCTCCCTGCTTTTCCCTCACAGAGGAGAAAGAAACAGAGAGACACAAAGAACAAGACGAAAAGAGTCTGCACATTCCCATTAACTGGTTCAATTTCCAAATGTTCACAAAGGCCAAAACTGAGACAATCAGAAACCAAGAGCCAGAAACTTAATCCCAGGTTAACCACAAAAGTGGCAGGAGTTCCATCATCTGAGCAATCAATCGGCTCTCAGGGTCCGTACTAGCAGGAAGCTGGAATCAGAAGCCAGTCAGGCCCAGAACTTGGGCACTTTGATATGACACACATTTTACCCTCTAGGTTAAGCACCTATCCCTGTGCATATTTTCTTGAAGAGAGGAAAAGAAAAGGGAGTGCCAGCTTCCTACCAATCAGCCTGAGAAGGTGGCAGCAGATAGCTCCTGGCTTAAGCTTTGGTCCAAAACTAACTATTGAGGCCATTTGGGGGAATAAACCAGCAGAGATCAATCTCTCGCTCTCTCTCTCCATATTTCCTTCTTTGTCACTCTGACTTTCAAACAAAATAAACCTTGAAAACATGCATAAAATTTACCATATTAATCACATTTTATAATTTTTACTTCTTGGGGCTAGCGCCATGGTAAGCCTTTGTCCACAGCACCAGAATCCCGTATGAGTGCCAGCTTGGTTCCTGGTTGCTCCATTCCAATTCAGCTCCCTGTTGATGCGCTTGGGAAAGCAGCAAAAGAAGGTCCAATTCCTTGTGCTCCCATACGCACACAGGAGATCCAGAAAAAACTTCAGGCTCCTGGCTTTGGACTGGCCCAGCGTGGCCTTTGCAGACATTTAGGGAATGAACCAGCAGGTAGAAGATTCCTTTCTGCCTCTCCTTCTCTCTCTGAAAACGTCCCTTTCAAATAAAAACCAATCAATCTTAAAAATTTTTTTTTTTTTTAATTGGAAAAGCGGATACAGAGAGGAGAGAGAGGAAGATCTTCCGTCTGATGGCTCACTCCCTAAGCAGCCGCAATGGCTGGAGCTGCACCAATCCGAAGCCAGGAGACTCCCCCAGGTCTCCCACATGGGTGCAGGGTCCCAAAGCTTCGGGCTGTCCTTAACTGCTTTCCCAGGCCACAGGCAGAGAGCTGGATGGGAAGCAAGGCCGCCGGGATTAGAACCGGCGCCCATATGGGATCCCGGTGCATTCAAGGCGAGGACCTTTATCACTACGCTATCACACTGGGCCCCAATCAATCTTTTTAAGAAATGTTTTTGTTATTTTATTTATTTGAGAAGCAGACAGAGCTCCTATCCACGTTCACTTTCCTGGTGCCCACAATGGCCAAGGCACCAAAACTGGGAGCAAGGAAGACAAACAGGTCTCACTCACAGATGGCAGGAACCCAAACCTGAGCCATCACTGTTGCAGGGTTCACATTATCATGAAACTGGAACAGGAAGCAGAGCCAGGACTTGAACCCAGGCACTCCATAACGGATGCAGCCACTCTTAACTGCTAGGCCAGACACTTACCATCACCATCCCTTTCTAAGAGTACAGAACACGCTCATACTGCTGTTAAAATAATCTCCAAAACCTTTCATATTTAAAGACTGAAACTCTATACCAATTAAATAACACTTATTTCTTCCCCTCCCTGGTAACCACTACTCCACCTTTTTTGTGGATTTGATAGCATTAGCTTCTATATATAATTGGAATTGCGCAGCCTTTTGGTGACAAATCTATCTCACTTAGCATAATCAAAACATGTGAAAGAATTTCCTTCCGTTTTAAGGCTGAATAACATTCCATCTTAAGGAGTCTTGAAGCTTAACTGCTTGATACTGGCTTAGTCTGTACAAGTCACTCCAAGATTCACACAAAGAAAAAAAGCACTGAACAACACGTTTTTCAGAACATATCCCCAGTTGGAGTGGCTTAGTAGATAGTGGGCACCTCCCTCTAGGGGTTACCACTCCTCCTGGAAAGCACGAAAACCAGGACAGGGGCAGGGGTGGCTAGACAGAAAGGCACCCAACATCATGTGTGTGGGCTGGATAGTAGGTCGGTTGGGTTGAACTAGGCTTCAATGCCCACTGACAAGTACGAGAGCTGAATGGGATGTAGGACAGACTGGACTAGTCTGCTGTAAATACTGGCATGCATGGGAATCAGGGCAGGGAGCAGGCCTGGTGGGGATTATGGGGAGTTGCCCCAACTAGGCTGCAGCTCCCACTGGTTTGCGTAAAGATCGAGTATGATGTGTAGGATCGAGCTTGGCTACAATAACCATTAGTTCATGTGGAAGACAGGGCTGGAAACAGAACTGACCCAGCAAATGCAACCACCAGTATGTGCATAAGCTGATTGGGGTGACAGACTGTGCCAGACCCTGTACTGGCAAACTCACACAAGAATCAGGTATAGGATCATCTCAGATGAAATTTCTTTGGAGATCCCTCCAACTGAACTGCTGATCACAGAATTCCAACCATGAAGAGACTATGTCAGCCAATGGATTCTGAATAGGTTTCATTACGATTGGAATAGCGAGATTGGCAGCAATTCAGAACTGTTGAACTATCAAAACTGCTTGAGCAGGATCCTCGGAGCATGTCTCACATCGGGGACCTGGGATGGGTGGGAGGCTGGGTGGGGTTTTTCCCCTTGTTTCTCCCCTGATCCCAGGTACAGGGAAAAAATAATATGAGTGTGGAAACAATGGTATTACCCACTTTCCTGTAGCCCTTGACCCTTTGTACCCTAATAATTAAGATTATTTTAAAAATAATAAATAAATATTTTTAAAAAGAACATATCCCTGTGTTTAAGGAATGAGGTGCCATATATAACACATTTTGCTTATTTATTCAATAAAGGATACTTGAGTTGTTTCCACTTCTTATCTACTGTGAATAGTGCTGCTGTGAATACGTACACAAACACATTTGAGATTATGGTTCAATTCTTTTGGATATATATCCAGAAGTGAGATCAATGGATCATAAGGTATTTATAACAGGAAATACCATACTGTCATTCAACATGGTCACACCATTTTGCCATCCCATCAACAGCACACAAGTGCTTTCATTTCCATACATCTTTATCAGCCTATGTTGGCTTTGCTTTCATTTGCTTTTAATGCAGTCTCATTGTAATTTTGCTTTTTATTTCTCTGATGACAGGTGAACTAAACAAAAATGCTTGTTGTTCATTTAGACAGTATCATTGGATAAATGCCTATTCAAGGCATTTGTCTATTTTATATCCAAATATTTAATTTTCTGTTGAGTTATAATCAGATACATGGTATGCAGATATCTTCCCTTATTCCCATCATAGGCTGTTGTAGGAGGACAATTAATTAGATATCATTTGTTGTAGGAGGACATTGTGACCCTAGAGGGTCAGCAAGCAAGGATTACAGTTGGTTGGATAATATTTGCATGAGAACAACCGAATGGCTACCTTTTGTATAACTGATGGATATAATCTGTATGAGAACAGTCGAGTGGATCACATGTGAATGAGAACACTTGGTAGAATAGACAAAACAAAAGGAGTTCCAAACAAGAGTATGGAAACAGTTGATGGGTTTTGTTGCTAAGTTCAATACCTCCTCTCTTAACCAACATAACCCTCAGTGTATAAAGTATGATGCCACTAATAAACTTCGGCTTTTGACCTTCAGTCAGGGTCCACGCGTGTCATTATCGGCGCCGTGCACCAAGTCTTCACACTGATTACATTCGTGGATGACTAAAAGTTTTAACCTTGGGGACCAGCGCAATGGCGCAGTGGTTGAGGTCC